TTTTTTGGGGGGGTCACCTTTCTTTGGAGTGGGCACAGATATGGATCTCACCCACTTGGTTGGCCGGTGACTGTCTTCCAAATTGCTAGACATAGAGGCACAGACAGGTGACCACTGGTATTCAAATTACCTGTAGCATCGCTTTCAGCATCACAGCCACATGCAAGCCATCACAATATGACAAACTGAACTTCGTGTATGCTCTTCTGCACTCATTGATATATTTGCACACGTTTCTGTCACGCTAGATACATGTTGTTGAGTCAATCCTGAGCTAGCGTGATGACATGTGTGCGGAGTAGAACTGTCTCGTAAAATTTCAAGGCTATGATCTTTTGGAGGTAGATGGTCAGGCCTGAGTTGCCTCTGGGTGGGTTTGAACTGCCAATCTCTTGGTTAGTCTTGAGCATGTGATTGTTTGTACTACCTGGTGACTCCATAGATACACAGAGATGTTGCTGTTGTTATGTGCCATCAGGCTGATAGCAACTCAGAGTTAGTATCTGAGTTGGCATATATGACCCTATGTGACAGAATCAAAGTGTCCCATAGAGTTTGGTAGACCGTAATCATTATAGGAGCAGGCCTTTTATTCTAAAGAGTAGATGATGGGTCTAAATAGCTCATCTTTAGATTAGCAGTCAAGTACTTAACTACTGCACTACCAGGGTAGTTTATTTAGAAACATGCATATCTGTTTCTACCTGATCTCCAGCAAGTGCCCCTGGAGAAGTGGGTGAGACTGGAGTGGCCTGACATTACCCCATCTACATTTTCAAGCCTGTGCCATGTGCATGCATTGCCCGTCCAAGACCAATGTGTGTGGGCATAACATCACTGTCACTCCCTTCCCATTGGTGGTGCACGGACCATACTGAAGATTCCTGAGGGGTTACCTACAAATGAGAAAACTGAGGCCAATAAACTAAGGGGTCTTTGGGTTGTCAGCTAGGGGCCTATGTGCGCCCTGTAGCTTCCTGTGTCTGCACTGTGACAAGAAGCAGGTGTGTTGTTATTGATGTCATAACGCCATGTCTGACTCCTGGTGACCAAAAGCACAACCCAAGGAAAACCTACCTGGTCCTGCACCATCCTCAAAATACTTGCTGTGTTTGAGTCCATTGTTGCAGCCAATGTCGACTCAGAGTTAACCTTGTTCACAATTTCCCCTTTACTGACCCACTATCCAGCATGAAGTCCTTCTTCAGAGATTTGTCCCTTTTTATAACATGTCCAAAATATGTGAGATGAAGTCTCACCATCCTGGCTTCTAAAGAACATTCTGGCTATACTTCGTCCAAGATGTATTTGTTTGTTTTTCTGGCAGGCCCAAAGAGGGGATACACTCGATATTCTTCACCAACCATTGTTCTGTGCTCTTCCTCATTCAGCCCAGCTTTCGCATATATACGAAGCAAATGAAAAGACAGCCTTGGGTCAGGTGTACCTTAGTTCTCCAGGTGATACCATTATTCTTTAACACTTTAAAGAGGTCTTTTGCAGAGATTTCCCCAATGCAATGCATCGTGTATTGATGTGTCCAGTGTAGCATTGATTGTGGACCTAATTAAAATGACAACCTTGTCAA